TTCTTCACTTTAGGTTCAAATCTAAATTATAAATTAATGATAAGGGTAATTTGGTAATTCAACCTTTTTGTAACCCCCAATAATTAATTGGGAGTTACAAATCTTAAAAGATACATCTAATTGTTCATGAAATTTTTATGATTTCTTTATTATTTCATGTTCATGGTATTTATTTCAATTGATTTTATACATATATTAAAATTGGTTGTCTAAGTGTACAAGATTTTCATTTCGTTCAAGATACATGGAGAATCCTATTGTAAAAGAATGTGTGTATATGTATATATAGAGAGAGAGACATAAGTTCATTTGAGAATTGACAAGTATTGAGAAGTAGATAAGTGATCCTAACCCTTCATCTAATCAAGATTTGCGGCTTTGACTATAAAGCATCAAATAATTCCTCACATGGTATGTAGAAAATAGAGAGGTAATTTCATAATTTTTATAAATAAGCGGTAAAACAAGTATATATATATATATATATATATATATATAAACTTCTGTGATTCATATATGAACTATATGTCAATATGTGAACTCATGTAATTCACATATGAACTATTTAACTGATTCACATATGAACCAATTAATTGATTCAAATATAAACTAATTAACTGATTTACATATGAAGTCGTGTGATTCACATATGAACTAATAAACTGATTTACATATAAACTCATGTGATTCTTGTAGTGTCAATATATGTTGGAACCTTTCTTATATTCTCAAGTGCTTTTTTGGATAATAATTTAATGGGTTCCACATATTCTTATTTGGTATCAGATTCAATTTCTACCACTTTAAGGACTCGCCACTTTGGGGAAATTTGTGTTCGTATAGCCTCCTTTGGAGGGGACGTGCTAGAGTTCCACAACAATTAGACTTGAACATTTCTTCTCAATATATGCATGTTGGAACCTCATTTCTCTTCTTAAAAAGTTTGCTGGATAGTAGCGTAACGGAGTTCCAGGTATTCTTTAGACGACGACTAACTTGAATGCTTGAGGGACTTAGTAATGTTGCATAAGGAATGTAGATACCTTTCACGACAGTATTGAGTTCAAGGGAATCAATTATATGGATCTTTATGGAAATGGTCGCTTTATTTTTCTGGATAGGAAAACAGGTATGCACGACCTACTTTCAAATGAGGCATACACTACTAAATGAAAGACTTTTGCATATGGACTTTTTCCCTGGGAAATATGTAGCTAAAGTTCATCACAAACCCGTCATAAAAGTTGATGGGTAATTCAAATCAGTGACAGATTACCTAGGGATTCTCTGAGTGATCCATTGGTGGGTAATTCAAAGTGTCATTTGTTTTGTAGAGATAGTTGATGTGTTTATTTTGGTTTAATTGATGAATCCTTATAATGTAACATATAATTTTTTGGTCACCTATCACGATATTTGGAAACTTGAGAGCACCAAAACCGATCGAAAAGACCACTAGATTATAAATTTTTTTTATTAACCTGGATATCCAACCCGCTATGCGAGCTGACTAATCTCAGAGAGATCACCTACTTTGCAGATAGCCCAGAGTCATCGCATTTAAACCTCCGTGGACACAAGGGGGTTTTTATTCCTCCTTGGATTTGAACTTGGGACCTCCTGATATTTTTAATCTTTGGAGTCAAGTTCAAACCAATCAAGCACCACCCTTGTGGTTCACTAGATTATACATTAACGTATACCACCGCTAATCACAATGCGGACGCGAACTCCATCTTGAATAAAAGTTATTTTCAAACTAAATCGCAGTTTAAACACATGAAATTATATATATATATATATATATATATATATATAGAGAGAGAGAGAGAGAGAGAGAGGAGCGATCAAATGAAAACCACTCCAATTTGTAAAAACCTGAAAAATTACTCTCATTCGTCGATTTCATTGTTTAATCTTATGAAATTGTTTCATATAATACATTTTTTGATGAAGTTGTTTCATATATGGTTATGAAATTGTTTCATATACTACTTAATGAAACTGTTTCATGTATTTCTCTAAAATTAAAATAATGATGATAATATCCATGATTAACATCACACATAATAAAAATGATTAATCAATCTCTAATAATTACAAAAAAAATGAACAAAATGAAAAATTATGATTAGTTGAATGAAGTTTGTACGGTTTGTACAAATTAGGTGGTTTTTATTTGAACGCTCCCTTATATATATATATATATATATATATATATATATATATATATAATTGAGATATATTTGAAGTACTTGAGTAATTATATGAAAAAATCTGTGTTAAATCAATTGACTTAATTAATTTGTGATATGAAGTTGTACATTTTATTTATAAAAAGTAAATTACATGTTCCGTTTCTACGTTTTTATGTTGTTGTACAGTCCTTGTTTCTTCTTTTAAAATTCAACGGATCGTATCGTTAAGAAACTGCAATCATAGGAATTTAACTCATTACAAATCCAACTACGAGGATGTAACCCTTAAAAACGCAACCATAAAAACATGTTTCCTTCAATTTATAATGAAAAAAAGAACCACAAGGGTGGTGTCTGATTGGTTTAAGTTTGAGCTTCAAAGATAAAAAGTGTCTGGAGGTCCTAGGTTCAAATCTAAGTAAGAACAAAAATCTCCTTGTAACCACGGAGGTTCAAATGCAGTAACTTCGGGCTACCCGCAAAATAGGTGGTTGTTCTGAGATTAATCGGCTCATATAACGGATTAAACATACATGTTAATAAAAAAACAAGTAAAATGGTTTGAACATAGGTTTGGGTTGGCCCCCATTATCAAATTTATATGCATTTGACACGATTGATGAAACCGTATTCTTGACCCACTCTATTTATTCATATTGTTTAATGATGTCGGACCACAATATTTATTTATGTTATTAGTTATGTGGGATGTTTATTTTACCGTTCAAACTCTAAAAATCGATTTTATATCATGTTAAACTGTGTGATATTAGACTTTTAATTAGGTATGGTTTCCGATTTCTGTTACCGTCTTATAGGATTCGGCAGGGACGGATGGCACATGCCACTGTATTATTCCTCCGTCAAAGGGTAAAAAAATTTAGGTTCGTGAAAAGGTCCAATCGTATTAATTTGTTGTGTGTCACTGTATGTATTTTGAAACCACAATGAGAACAAATTTTATTTGGTAGAGTTGGTTTGCAAGACTTTTATTCCACCCCATACCCAAGTTCGAATCTTGTTAATGTCATTTTCTTAGTCAAATAGTGTCACTGATTGAAAAGAAATATATGTATATTTGTTTCTTATAGTCAAACGGTGTCACTGTTTGAAATTTTTTTCTCTAGTTTTTTTATAGTCAAATGATGCCACCGTTTGAAAAAAATTATGGGTCCGTCCCTGCTTGAATTTAGATAAAATCGCATCACTCACGTAAGAGACATTATATAAATCATTTAGATGGTGAACGATATATTTAAATGGATGCTATGTAGTATGTACCAATTGTAAACGTTATATTTAGGTACAACCCGCATAAACAGTACCACATTTTGTGGTGCGATATTCTACGATTTGAAACGTGTATAATTTGGTTTATGGTTTAGAGAAACGATCAAACCTCATATACATATTAATTCATATTAACATACCGTGCATTCAAGTATCTGTAGTTATTAAAATTGTCTCGATTTTAAAAACATGTCAAGTTTTATCTGTGTAATAACCACCTTAATAATATGCTAAATGAGTATTTTTCAAATCATACCCCTTTATTTACTGGTAAACGACCACTAAATGTTCTAATAGACTGCTGTATATAACTCAAGTTTATAAAACCAAATAATAAATGGTCTTATCTAAAAGTGTTACAATAAATTTATATGACGATTTTGGACGTATCAACAATTTTCCAAGACATTTTTAAAATAAAATGTCGTAATAACTATTTTATAGGATAGTTTTGAAAAATGTGTTATGAACACGTCTTTTTATAAGACGTTTTATTGTAAATAATGTATTAAAAAACTTGTTACGTCCAAAATCATTTTATAAACATATTGTAACACTTTTAGATAAGACGTTTTATTATTTGATATAAAACAATATATTTTGACACTTCAACATTTTTAACATTCTATAATCTAATTTTCCAGTAATATATGTTTTAAATAAAACTTTATATAACATCACAATTTCAACAATCTCGCACACAACTTTGTGAAATCAACTAGGGGTGTAAATGATGCGAGTCGAACTCGAGTATCACTATACTCGACTCGAACTCAAAACCCAATTTTCGAACTCGAACTCGACTCAAAAACTCACGAGTAGTAAAAATCAAAGCTCGATCGACTCGAACTCGAATCAAGCTCAAAACAAGCTCAAATTGCAAGTCAAATCAAGTTTGAACTCGAATCAAGCTCGAACCAAGCTCACCCATTGAAATTTATGAAATTTTAGGGTCATTCTCTTATAAATTTTAAAACATAAAGATGTTCTCTTAGTTTTTATAAAACTAAAAGGATCAACTTCAAACTTTATTATCAAAAAGACAAAGTTAGAAATTCCATCACCTCCCTCTCTCTTTTTATAACATCTTTTTTCCCTTTTTTTATCATCTATCTTCTAATGTCGGACAATTTCACTAATTTTTTTTGTAGGTTTCTTTGTCTTTTTAATTGTGATTTTAATAAAAAATAATTAACTAATTTTTATAATGAAAAAAGAAGCATAATTTTGTTTAAATAGCTAAAAATATAAGACATTTTTATTATTTATATTTTACAGATTTTATCATAAAAACTGATTATATTTTAAAACTAATTATATAGAAAATAATCGAGTATCTCACGAGCTCTTTGAGTCGAGTATTAAGTATTGACTCGACTCGTTAATATGTCGAGTCGAGCTCGAGTTCGAGCCGAGCCTATTCGAGTCAAGTGTTGACTGAGCTTTGACCGAATCGATCTCGAGTAGCTCACAAGTTGTCTCGTGTCGTTTACACCCCTAAAATCAGCACTATCAAACAATAAACTTTCACTGCTAAAAATAAATATTTGATTTCAATAATGAAATCTTATGGACTAACAGATTTCCGATTACATATGATTATTATACATACACACATTACACACACACACATATATATATATATATATATATCTAGAGAGAGAGAGAGAGGGAGAGATAATTAAGCAAGAGTGTTCATAAGAGATTGAAGAGCTTGTTCAGAAATAATTTTGTACATTTCTTCAGTAAAGTGAACAGCATCCCAGTAGACATATTGGCTTCTGTTGGCACAAGTAGGCAACCCTTTACAGCTTTGCCCAAACTCCAATCCCGATCCACAACAACCCTTCGATGCCTCCATAAAACCTGCACACACACACACACACATATATATATATATATATATCCATTTATATAATTTCAAAGCTTTTATATATCAGATAATAATTAATTTGAAGAGATGGGGATGACGAAGAATGTTACCATATTTGGTTGGGTTATTGACTGTGTCCAATATGAGACCGTAAATGTCTGTGTAGAAACTTTTAATCCCTAAGGATTGTTGAAGAGTAGCCATGAGCGCTTTCACTTTGGAGTTAAACGTGAGAGCCACCTTGTTGTAGCCTTCATCGCACTCACTTACGCCTCTAAGAGCCTTAATCAATGGAATGCACCCAAATGGTTCCATGCCCACCACTGCCAATCTCCTCGCACCTTCTGCATGCATTGCCTGCAAATGCCACACAAGATATTTGACTCTCACTTAACCCGACCCGACAAATAAAAGTTAGGTCTTGATAAGTTATCGGTTCGAGTATTTTCGGATCCATATGGTAAACACTATAATAAATATGGGTATAGGACGCTTGAAATGTTTAAATTTCCTAGCGGAATACATTGTAGTACTTAGGTTTATCGGACCAAGCTATAAAACGTCTTAATTAAAAATGTTATAATGGGTTTATAGGATGGTTTTAGACGTTTTAACGAATTTTTATGACATTTTTTTCAAATAAAATGTTATATTAATCATTTTATAGGACAATATTTAAAAAAATGTCCAATAAACTCAAGTATCCTATAAAAAATGGTTTATAGGACACTTCTCAAAGTTATCTTACAAATAAGCCGATACGACACTTTATTTTTTTAAAATTCTTAAAAAACTTGTTAAAACATCTAAAAGCATCATGTAAACCTTGTGTAATACTTTTAGATTTGATGTTTTATAGTTTTATGTTGAAAAACTGAAGTCTTACAAAGCATGTTGTTAAAACGTTTAAATATTATATGTGTCCTATAAATTCAATTTATTATAAGCGTCCTATAAATCCAATGAGAAATAAAAATCTATTTGTGGTCACGGAGGTTCAAATGCGGTGACTCCAGGCTATTTGCAAAGCAGGTGRTCGTCCTGAGATTAGTCGGCTAGTATAGCGGGTTAGATATCCAGATTAATAAAAAAATAGAACTAAAATTATATTTTAAAAATAAATTGTTGAAAATTAAAATTTTAATAAAATAAATTCATTATTACAATGGTGGTTGGTCTTATAACTTGTACTATATGTCTTCACCAATCACATCAATTTAATTAGTAATATTACAATATTCCACAAACCATAAATATATATTGTTCTCCATTATTGACATTGCGCATATGTTTTCTGATAGAATAATGTTTTTATATATAAAAATTTTCTATTTTTTTATTAGTTTTAATGGAGTATGTTATAAGGGAAAATAGATAATTATGTATTGTAGTTCTAAAAAATTGTAATTATATAATTCAAATATAGGGGAGAGTTTAGAAGAGAACTTTGAAAAAATAAAAAACTGAGAAATATCATGGTAATCATTCATGTGCATGCTAGTAATTGAAGTTGTTTCTTGACTTTTATGCACGTGTGACATACCAGACAAATTGCTTAAAATTACATGTATGCACATATATATATTATCTAGATGAATGATTATCAGAGTGTTTCTCAGTTGTTTATTTTTTTACAGTTTTTTTCTGAACCTGACCTTTCAAAAGAAATATATATATATATATATATATATAAGTATTATCATTTACAAAAATAACAAAATCCCATAAATATAGGAACTAGTTTTTTATATATGTGTTCTAAATATGTACGAATTTTGTAAAATAATGAGCATATATATACACACACATATATATATATATATATATATATATATATTCATTTAAGGGAGAACTGACAAGTTTGTGCTAACCGTGAGATCCAATCTCAATCACAAATTAATAAATAAATTAAGAAATTTATAATTTTGATAATTTTAAATTAAAATTTTAATACAAGAATATTTTAGGTATTTTCTTTGATATCTCCTCTTTTCTCTCTCCGACCACCGTCCTCCGGTGATACCACTGTGTGATACTTAAAAATATTGACTATGTTAAACAAAAAACAGAGTGTGATACCCAAACACATATAAGATGCATTATGATACTACTGTGTTACATCTCCAATCGACCACACAAATGACCTCAGTGTGAAACCAAGCACATATAAGATGCATTGTGATACCATTGTAGTATCACCAGAGGACGGTGGCCGGAGGCCGGGAGACGAAGAGAGGAGACATGAGAGAAAATACCTAAAATGTCCTTGCATTAAAATTTTAATTCAAAATTATAAAATTTTTAATTTATCTATTGATTTGTGGTTAAGATTAAAACTCACAGTTATCACAAACCCATTAATTCTCATTTGATTAGGCCATTTATAGAGACCATTTAAAATACAAATCATCTTATTTAATTCATACAATTTATACAAATAAACCAATCAATATTTATGAAAATTATGAAAGTTTATTTATTATAATTTAAATATTTATGAAAGATTATTATAGTTTATTAATTATGAAAATTAACTTTTTAATCAAAAAATAATCGACATATTTAACCACATATTCTTTAAATTAAATAGACGATTGAGATTGAGCTACATGATTTATATTTAAAACTCCTCCTATATATATACTATATATGTTCCATCTATTAATATTAAATGCTAAATGGATAAAATCTAGTTCTATATTAATGGATTGAATTGAAAGATAATTTAGTCAATGGATCACATGTAATGGTTGGGTGCATCTAAGATCCATGTCTTTTTCTTTTCCATTTTAAGACATATATATTAAGCCAATCATTAGCTTAATAAATTATACATATGTGAAATAAAGCAGAAAAAACTAGCATTTAAACCAAAAGGGTGATGCCTGATTGACTTGAGTTTAGCTTTAAAGGTCAAAAGTACCAGTAGGTCTCAGGTTCAAATCTAAAGAGGAATAAAAATCCCCTTATGGCCACGGAGGTTCAAATGCGGTGACTCCGGGCTATCTGCCAAAACAAGTGGTCGCTTTGGGATTAATCGGCTCGCATAACGAGTTGGATATCCAAGCTAATAAAAAAAACGAGCATTTATGATGTTATATGCACTTTCATTTTTCAGAATTCAGCCACGGCTATAATTAAGTAAGATCTGAGAGAGACAGCTTAATTATTACCTTAATGTATTTGGTGATGGCAGAAATCAAGAAATCTTGATACTTGTCTACAGTGAATTGCTTAACACGAGTAGGCTCCACGAAATAGTTCTGTAAGAAGTCATTGGTGCCCATGCTTAATAGAAATACTCCATTTGTGACGATTTGTTCAGCCTTTTTCTTCCCCACCAACCTCCCTAACTTTGCCTTGTACTCCCGAAAATACTCCAATTGTTTCGAAAGAGATATCACATTCTATTTCATGCAAAAATATATAACCATCTCAATAAAATAAAACCCATAACAAGAATCATAAGGGTGTGTTTGGTATCCAGACAAGACAAGACAGGACAGGATGGAACAACTGTTCAACGTTTGGTAAGATAAATTAAACTGGACAGAATAGAACAAGTAAAATGATTAATTTACTCCTGATGAGTTGTTTATTGGAATTAATTTATGTAATTTATTAAATTATCATAGAATAATTATTTTTTATAACAGGAAGTTTTCGTCAAAACAATTAAAATTACACCAAATAAAAAGTTTATGTAGTTTTCTATTTTTATGTTTATCTTTTTTCTACATTATTTTTTATTATTAAAATATAATAAATTATATGAATTAATAAAAATATAGAAACCGTATAAATATTAAATATTTTGAGGACGGTAAAATGAAAGTTTAAGAAACATAAAATACAATAAATAAAATTTAAAGAATTAATAAAATATAAAAAAGAGACTTATTTGATGTTTTAGAAGAGAATTAAGTTTTATTTTGAGGTTATATTGGTAAAATATAAGTCTGTTTCATCTTGTTACACCCTGTTTCATAGGGTAAAGGTGGAACATGCATGTTCCACTCTGTTTCTGTCTATTCTACATAAAATTCATGTCAAACATGGGACAAGGATCTCTGTCAAGTTCTGTCGTGTCCTGTATAGTGTACCAAATGCACCCTAAATAAACAACAAACACTAACAAGAAAAACCTGATCTAGGTGTATATGTATATGTATATGTATATGTATATATATTCTAGAGAGTGCATGCATGGTTACCGAGAGATGAGCAGTAAGATCATCATAACCAGAACCACCAGAAGCAAAACTAACACCATGAAGAAGTTGTTCACTCGTCAAATTCGGATCAAGGTACGCAGGTATAGCTCTCGTGTAACCCAATGCATCCGCTGAAAAACATGAAACCCCGATAATTAAAAACCGATACGTCTTAAGTTAACATACATAAACTTAACAAGAAGAAATTACTAGTAATCAAAATTTTGAAAATACAGTGGGTCCAAAAGAGCTCATGATAAGCGATAAGAAAAGTAAGGGTAATATATATGATACCAATGAGATCAGTGGGAAGTCTTCCATTGCTGAACCTTCCAGTAGGTTGGCCATGGTAGAAATCTTTCCCATAGGGCAAGAAGTTAACCTTCTGATCAGTTTCAAGATTATTGTTGTTACCAGGATCAACACTAGAATCTCCAAACACATAAATGCAGGATACATTGTTCTTGGCTGCAAAAAGCCTTAGCTTTGGAATGTCTATAGCTTGTGAATGTACAAGTAGCACAGCCAAGAGTACAACCAGAGTGATGAGGTTCATAATCAGATTAGCTAGGGTTTTGGATATATGATCAAGAATGTTGCTTGATTGCTGGTTAGATTTGAGCATGAATGAGTTGTGTTGTGGATGAGATAATTAAATAGGCAAGATTGTATTAAATTTTGTTAGGTTGAGACTTTAATAATTTATCAGAGATGGAAATGATCAAAAAATTAATTAGTCCGGTGGTGTTGCTAGCTTTTCTTCAGTAATAGTAGTACTTGAATAAAAAATGTTGGTATTTGGTAGGGTTCATTTACTCTCTACTGTTGATCATCGACAAATGTGCCATGGATTTTAACTGGAAGTCTAGAATTTATGTCATGGCTTAATATATGTATGTATGTATATATGTATGTATATATATATATTGTATGTATGTATGTACAATCGAAATTCTTGATCAATGGATGAACTATATCACCGGAATTCATTCAAAGAAAAACTGATTAATTTGTGTTAACTGTTAGATATATAATCTCAATCACAAATCAACACATAAATTAGAAAATTAGTAATTTTGGTAATTTGAGTTAAAATTATGATGATAGAACATTTTAGGTATTTTAAATACTCCTCTCTTCGACCTCCAACCTCGGACCTCCGGTAAACATTATTTCGACTGATACAAGTAATCACAAAAATACACAATGTGATACTTATTATGATATCACTGTGATACCAACCCACACTTTAAAAACAAAAATCAAACCCATAATCTAAATTTAATCAATGATCCTAAAGATGCACAATGTGATATCCATTGAGATACCATTGTGATACCATTATCATACCAACTATGATATCAACCCAAATCTTAAAATCAAAATCAAACTCACAATCTAAATTTAATCGATTACCCCAAAATTCAAAAACCAAATCAACAATTTAAAATTAATAAAAAAAAATCATTCATCTGGATATCTAAATTTAATCGAAGCGCTTGGATCTTCACGTTGATACATACAATAGTTTTCAGATCTGATTTCGATGGAGATAGAGATATGGAGTTTTATTGTGATGTAACTCCGGTGAAAGCCCTCATTGGTGATAGGACGAGGACAAAAAGGGGAACGACTTTCCAGTGACGACGAGAAACACGAAATCTAGGTTCCTAATCGGTTTCTGAAAAAGAAAGAAAACCTTGTAAGTTTTCCAAATTTGTGTGCGATGCAGATCTAGTTTTATAGAAAAAATCATGTTGTTCGATTTTTTGGGGAATCGATGCTTGGTGGAGGGCATATGATGAAAAGCGAGGGGACGTTGTTTGTAGCCAGAGTTGAGGGAGAAGGAAGGTCACCGGAGAAAATGAAGGTCAGTTTGGGAGTTAAGGGAGAAGGAAGGAACTCCTCGATCTAGTTATGAGACTGAGAGAGACAACTAATTAAATTTAAAATTAGAATATTAAACTATTTAAAGTAAATTGAATACTCAACACAATTTTACTAATTTACTTTTCAACTTATTTAAGAAATCATATTAATTATCTTGAATGATTGGTTCATATTGGATCTTATAGTTACCACAAATTAAACAGTCACACACACACATATATCTATACTATATTATAAAGCATTTGGCAAAAACTCTAATTAAAAACCACTTTTTATGTGTAAAGTACAGTTTATTAATGCATATTACTTAAAACTTAATATTGCAAGTAGATTGTGTGTAAGTACAACTTATTAAAGCTCCATATCTGAATTCGTG